TACCAATTTGTGATCAGTGCCACACTCAGCTCCACGCAGTACACGTGTCATGCGCACTTCACTCATATCGCGATGACGTTCGATAACATAGTTGAGCAGGCGAGCGTGACGACTCCGTGGGTGCGTCCAAGTTGCTATATCACACGCACTCGGTGTAAACCGAGTGTTCGTGGTCGTCAGGCGGTGAGAGCAGCCTGTCACCGTTCGCATTCGCTGAACCATCGCTATGCGAACCGATAACATCTGCCCACACTGATGCATCACGCCCAACGTGGGCGTTGAAATCACTCAGCAGAAATAGTCGGTCGCGCCTCGGTACAGACCGTATCACGGAGGATAGCTGAGTGCAGCATTGATCACGCGTGTCATGAGGATAACACATGGTCGGACCGTACGTGCTTATGAAAGTGGCGAACTTATCTCTTTCGAGTCGTAGGCGAACAGTCATCAGTCTCCCTGGCCATGGAGGCGATCTGATATTGCAAATCCGACCCCATGATCACGTGGTGCTGAGGCGGCGTTGCCCACCCAGTAGAATGTGTGTCCAGCACCTGCCTTATGCAACTTGCCTTGCGCAGCGAGCCGGGTTTAACTGAGCGCCGCAATGTCGATGTTGTAGCGCGCCAGTTTCATCCCGACCAGTGCAGTGCGTCGCCCTGGGCGCTCGCTAGAGATCCGGTCCAGTAGAGTGCGCACGTTTCGGCACCCGATGCCGAGTGCTTTGTGCGCAGGTGTACGATTGCATCGGTAAGCGATCACACGCGTGATGGTCGTTGTACTTCGGAGGTTTGCTTGAGGGACTCCACCCGGAGCATTTGGCTCAATCGCCTGACCCACAAGGCAGGGGGAGCAGGTCCAGCTCGGGAAGGTGATTGCCTCTACAAATTGGGATCTGCTCGGCAGCCATCACACGCAGCCTTGGTGGTACTGGGACAGTTTATATATATGTTTGCGACCGTAATGGGATACACTTGCGACCACGGCCAGACGCAGGTGGGTTTTGGCGGGTTTGTACCAATTTGACCAGGAGCTTCCCGGCTTGAAGCGGGCAGTAGTAAACCATTAAACACCCGGAGATGCCCTCCCACCGTCAGAGACAATGCGTATCGCTCGTGCTCTACGCCAATCGAGCTGTGGGCTTATAACCCTTAGACCTGTTGTCTTCCATTGCTAGGTTTTACGGGAAGAGGTATATCGACCTCTTCCTAACCTCCGAAGAGGATGAAGTAGGATACTGCCACGGCGCCCACACCTGACAGGAGAACGACTCGGGTCCTCAGCCAAAGCCTTCGATTAAAGGAACACCCGAAAGGCAGCGGGTCCAGCACATGGTCAGTTCACTTACTCAAGCGGATTGGTGTCCTGGATCTTAGCTGGGAGAAGAAAGGAAACAAACTCTCACCCAGCGGTAGCCACGAGGAGGCGCTCAGGACATGAGCAAATGGCACAACAGTGGCAGCAGTGGGTAGACCATCCGTCAGGATCTAGCCACAACCAGCCTCAGCGCACCATAGGCTCTCCCGCCGGAGGGCGCATTTTGGTTGGCGGCATCCGGTTTCGGATTTGCCTGTCACTGTGGCAAGCCACAGGACGCCTGCACATAGAGAGGGACCATGGGTGGCTTGCGCTGCACCACCCACAGCTTCAACCACACACCCCATATCCAGTGTAAACCCGAAGGAATAAGACCGGGAGGTATGAGGATGGGAACCACGTTTCATCAACGGAGCCGGCCCACACTTCTTCACAGGCAAACACAAGCACACTGTATTGGGAATCAAGCGCACACAAGACGGTGGCTGGACCGTTGTCCGCTCCACACTAGGTGCATAGAACCCCTCTTTGATCTTCACACGGACACAAGGACCGTGCCCCCCGTCCCCTCCAGCAACGACCAACTGTCTCCTGGAGCCAGTATGGACGAGGTGGTGGGTAATAGACAGGTACGCACCTTTCAACATGCACATCAAGCGCAGCCACACCGGAGATATCAAACAACAGCTAATCACTTGGGAGAGACAAAGAGAATAACTCGATTAATGCATAAGGAAACGGTAAACTAAACCTTGACTTGCTGAGCATATGAAATAAGTTGCTTACAGACGAGTCCCACGTAAGTTCACGAGGTCAGGAAGTATACTTTACGGAATGTCACGAACACAACAATGTTATGGAAATCGTATACAATTGGCTTACGCGAGTTGTGCAAGTTAATGGAATAGAGTACAGGTAGAAAATTATATGAGAAAGAAAAGCATTTAGGCAAAATTGAATACCCACCACCTGAAATAAAGAGACTTAGCATGCAAACACTCGGTTAGTAATTCGAATGCGGCATACCTACAAACGCTGCGCCGGTTCTGAGTAGTTCACGGCAGAACCCGTCTTCGCTTCTGTAGTGGTCCCGAGTGGCCTCGCTCATGGCTCACTAGACATTCATGGTTGGCGGCATCCGGTTTCGGATTTGCCTGTCACTGTGGCAAGCCACAGGACGCCTGCGCCTACAGAGGGACCATGGGTGGCTTGCGCTGCACCACCCACAGCTCCAACCACACACCCCATATCCAGTGTAAACCCAAAGGAATAAGACCGGAAGGCATGTGGATGGGAACCACGTTTCATCAACGGAGCCGGCCCACACTCCTTCACAGGCAAACACAAGCACGCTGTATTTGGGAAATCAAGCGCACACAAGGCGGTGAGTGGACCGTAGTCCCCTCCACACTGACTGCATGGAACCACCCTTTGATCCTAACACGGCCACAAGGACCGTGCACCCCGTCCCCTCCAGCAACGACCAACTGTCTCCTGGAGCCAGTATGTACGAGGTAGTGGGTAATAGACAGATGGGCACCTTGTCAACATGCACATCAAGCGCATCCACACCGGGGATATCAAACAACAGCCAAAAGCTTGAGAGAGAGAGAGAAAGAAAAAGAGAAAGAGACATTCATACGTACATATATACATACGCAAAAATCCACTATGCTACAGGTTAACTTGCTATTTTTTACCCGATTATCGACCATACCTGTTTGTAGCGTTATGATGTTGCCTCCACAGGCATGCGTCGCCTTACCTGGAATAAAACATTTCATTTGTCATTAATGTAAAACGCAATGGCTGATGGCTATGCAGTATAACAATTGATAGTCCGTTTTTCACTTACCAAGATCCCCGTTGCTAACCCTTTGCCTATTTCACTTTCCTTGGAACAAAAGTACCGAAATGCTATTTACTAATAATTTCATCCAGCCGCCTTTTTGTTCCGATTCAAAAAATCGTGGTGGACCCACGCTTCCGCCATGAATGAACATGATTTTCTGTGGCGTTGTGCTGGGTGAGTTGGAGCGTTTGTCCCGCCAAAGTTACGCACGACACAGGACAAGATAAGAAACTTGACGCTGACAACAGGGTGTTTAGGTTTACAAGGGCTTTTCCCAGCTGAATTTAGACATATTCCGGCTTCTGTTCCACCGACATTTATGACTAATGCTTAAGTATAAATTGCCAGTATCCTATCGCATAAAAGCCGAATGCCCACAGATATAGAAGGTTCATCAGTGCAGCTCAAGGAGGCTTTGGGTTCGTCCGATTTTTAAGGGCGGTGACAGCACTCTGCCCGCGAACTACCGGCCTGTCAGTTTGACAAGCGTAGTAGTCAAATTGTTTGAAAAGCTGAGAAGGGATTCAGTGGATTGATTCAACCTTCTCAGTATTGTGCAACATCGATTCCGCAAGGGATTCTGCATGTCACACTACTACTTGTAGCTCGTGAAAACTTGGCCGAAGCGGTAGAGAGTGGTTACGCTGTAGCCGTGCTATTGGTGAACTTTTCGAAGTTTTTTTACACTGTTCCACATCTGCGACTCTCACTAAAGCTGAGATCTTACAGGATATCTGGTCGTGCCCTTCAATGGGTGTCTGCCCTCCTTGAGGGGAGGGAACAGTGCGCACAGATGTTTTCCTTGCGACCACGCAAGCTGTCCTTAGTGGCGTCCCGCAGGGCTCGGTATTAGGGCCATTGTTGTTCGCGATCTACGTAAAGGACTTGCCGGGAGAGCTATGGTGTCATCACTAACGGTTGCTTACGACGTTAAGCTCTGGAATATTGTGGATATCCCAGGGGTCCTGAGGCAATGCATTGTGCCTTGGATAGGCTCTGCGAATTGCCTACCTTACGGTTGATGCCCATAAATAGGGCTAAGTGCGCTGTCCTCCGAATCGGAGCTGCTAATCCTCCCACCCGATATGTTGCCGGCGGTGGTGTGCTCCCTGTTGGCACTCAGGAGTTTGGTTTAAGGGTCGTACATTCATCAGCACTTACTCTGGCGACAATGGGAAGAAGGCTGCTTGTCGAGGTTTCGTATGTGGTGGTGGTGGACGGAAACTCGTTGCCGCGCCGAGTTATAGCTTGCTGGAATTCGATTCCAGATCACGTGGTTAGGTAACCTACGGTTAAGGGTTTTGCACGCCAGCTCGATGCTCTTGGGTGGCAACAGCAAACCTTTCCTTTTTCCTAACTGCCACAACTTCACTTTTCAGTTCATTTTTAACGACTCAAATATCTTGGTATTTTACTTGCTTAGCCCTTTCCACTTTCTTTTTTGCAATCTGAGTTTACTTTTTTCCCTTTATTACTTTACGTAACCGACCCAGCAAGGACTGCTAGGGCATGATACGTGAGCATTAATTTGTTGGACAGGGTGTGAGGCTGCCTTTGCCTTAGGTCCATCAGTATTTCAAAGCCCTCCAACTCCTGGTTCAACGACCCGCTGAAGAAGGAACACTCACGGGATAATCCTTCGTTCCAGTTCCTCTTGAACGTGAGTCTGCACTCTCGACCTCCAGGTTCCTGCCAAGGAAAGAAACCGCCGTCGCTATCCATCTCTTATCTGTTTCTTTGGTGCTACTTGTTATCCATGATTATTGTTATTCATCGTGCCAGCAGTCTTAATACGCGATATAATGTTCTGTCAGAGGTCATAGCATGACTGTTTGCCGCCTCTGTTAGTACGAAATTCCCGCAGTGTTATATGGCCACAATTGAAATGCCCGCTACCGTGCAGTTTTAAGAATCTCATAAACTTGTGCGTTTACTTGATCAAGGTACTCTTCCCAAAATTCTTTACCTTGTTGTTCCGCTCTGCATTTGTCCCCGCAGCCTTGCGATGGTGGCTCAGCCCGATGGTTATTGAGAGCGGCGGTCGCACCTCCCGCAGTAGTTCCGGTCTGTCCTCGGAGGCTGACTCATCGGGCGGTAGCTTGGATAGTTTGGTAGAAGATTTTTTCGGGAAGGTGTGTGTCTCCCCGTCCAACTGCGAAGTCATGACTATCAAAAATCGCAAAGACAGAATTAAAGCTGACCGCCAGTCCGAACGGGATGTAGCTGGTCCGTCATCCTTTGCGTCTCGACGTCCTCACGGTTTTAAGCCTTATAAGTACCCTGAAGACAGGAAGGACAATGCATTGCATCGCGTCCGAGTGCACAGCACTCACCCGCATGAGGCTCCGCTTGGGAGGCCCAATGGTGAGTACTCATCTTGCTTCCATATTGTTTGCAGAAGGTGCGGTTTATCACACTCCCGGACCATTCTCAAGGGTACAGTCGCATCTATCCATTGCTCAGTCGGAGTGCGTTGCTTCTGGTTTTGACGGTCGTTCGGGTATTCGCGAACAACTAACTAAACCGCAACCAGTAGCAACAAGTACAGACAAGGAGAACGGAAATAATAGTGAAGACGAATACCATTACACTTCACATTCCTGCAGATCCCCACAATCTCAAGTATACTATGTCGTTTTATCGAGTTTGTTCTCCAGATCGATGAAAACAACTTAGAAAAGCTTCTGTTAGAGAAGAGAGGTTGGCGAATCGTCAAAGTAAAAGCCGACGGTGCCTGCTTGTTTCGCAGTGTCGGTATGGTTTCTTATGTCGGACACACGATATTCCGTTTTAGCCCATCAAATTTTTGGTGATGAGGAGCACCACGAAGTTGTGAGAAAACAAGTTGTCGACTACATGGTATGTGGCTTTTCATTGTTTTGACGCCTTTAGCTTGAAAACAGAGAACATTTCTCACCTTATGTAACGGAGGAGTTCGACCATTATATAAACCGAAAAAGAGCTTCCACTTGCTACGGCAACCACATCGAAATTCAGGCAATCGCGGAACTGTACAACAGACCAGTAGAAATATACCACGACTCTGTCGAGCCTATCAATGTGTTTCACGCTGAATACTCAAAGGAGTTCCCGATCCGGTTGAGCTATCATGGTAGAGTTCATTACAACTCTGTTGTTGATCCATACAAGCCGTCTTTTGGGTGCGGCTTAGGAATGCCGAACTATCAACCCACTGTAAGCATGTCATTCTAGCGAACACTTATCTGTAGTTATCGGAACCGGACTTGATCGCGCAGGCATTGCAGGAGTCCGAGAATACTCAGTTGGAAGAAACGATTTTGCGCGACAAATTGGCCGAATCAGAGAAAGGGGAGATTGAGCGGTGCCTCGAAGCGCAGGCTGTTCGTGAATCTTATTATGACTACCTCAGCCAACTGCAGTTACCGGTGAGTTTGTTGGCTTTATCCTAACCACAAGTACGATTGCAATTTTCTAATATCTTGGATTAATCAGTTTCCCAACTGGGTCAATGCGTCATGGTTTCTTTGTTATTCTGCAACAAGTGTTATGCCAGCGTCACCGATACCGTCGGTCGATTTTGCCGTTTTAACTGAATTTCATATGGAATCAGTCAGTCGCTGTCTTGTGGTAGAATTCACGGATTGTAAGAATAACTAATGGAGATAGGACGCCACCCACATTCAGTGATTTGCCGCCACCTTTTTTTGGATCATTGGATTGTAGAGAGCAGAAGGAAAGTCCTTTGTCAGCTCCTTCACTTCCCGATCATTGCGTGGATGCCGTGAGTCGCTACGAGACGGTATTCCACAAGGGGCCGTAACAGCTACATTGGAAGAAGCAGGGTCCCAGCTTACTCATCAAGTGAGAATCCAAAAATCGCTTGAAACATTCCTCCGACTGTGCGTCGACCACATGTTTCGGCAAGTCGTTCCAGTCATTGACAATGCGGGTTGATAGAGCGAGAGTGGAGCGAACTCTGAGTCTTCTGGGTTTATATAGTTTCCAGTTGTGCCCCCGAGTGGAACTATTAGTGTTGACTTGAAAGAACGCTTGTAGCTCCGTCCCCATTTCCCCCATCAGAATTCGCCTAGTAAAAATTAGATCACCTCTACGTCGGCGATATTCCAGGGAGAACAGGTGCATCCGCTGTAGTCGATGAGGGTAAGGCAAGTCCCTTAACTCCAGTATGGATTTCGAGGCACGCCGCTGTACCTTCTCAATCATGTTACACTCGAACCTGGTAAGAGGACAGATGGCGGGTAGTCCGTATTCAAGGATCGGGCGCACATGAGAAGTAAACAGGATTCTGAAAATTTCCGGAGTCAGTCTCGAAAAGGCTCTCCGAATGGCATGGGACATCCTGGTGGCAGAGGCAACCCTCCGTAGTGTGTCTTCTGAGGTCCGTAAATCATGTGAGACAAGCACACCGAGATCTTTTTCAAGAATGGTGGTTCTGAGTAACACCCCACCAATATGGTATATCCCGAACGGTTCGAGGGCGCCTATAGGGAGAACTGAGCATTTTTCACAATTTATGGGCAATTGCCAGTTGACTGACCAGTCGTGTAGATTGTCCAATGCTGCCTGCAATCTGTCAGCATCCTCAAGACAGGTTACCTCCATCCACAGCTTCATATCATCGGCGTAAACCAGGCAATCCATCTGAAGCTCCGATGGGAGATCATTGATGAATATCTTGAACAGTTCTGGACCAAGTACTGACCCTTGCGGAACACCGCTAGTCATCAGCACAGGAGTGGAGTAGGCTTCATTCACCTTGACTCGCATGGTCCGGCCATTCAAGAAATCAGCGATCCAGGAAAGGACATTCCCAGAGACACCGGTACCTCGGAGTTTAAGAAGGAGCCTTTCATGGGGGACCTTGTCAAACGCCTTGCTGAAGTCTACGAAAACCACATCCAACCGTTTCCCAGCGTCTAACGACCTCGCCCAGTTTTCCCTAGCAACAAGCAAGTTCGAGGTACATGAGCGTGCCCGCCGAAAGCCATGCTGGGCACAGGAGATGATGTTAAGATTCTCGAAGTGAAGCTGCAGGGCGCGCTTGAGAATCCTTTCCATTAACTTGCACAGCACAGACGTTAGGCAGATAGGTCGATAGTTTGCAGGATCTTGACGATCCCCTCCCTTGTATATAGGTTTGACGGTCCCCAGTTTCCAAGCAACCGGGAGTCGTCCAGCTTCCAGAGAGTGGCGAAATATCTGACAGACGGGAGCAGCAATGTAGTCCGCCACAGTCTTGAGGAACAGCGGGTGCAGTCCATCAGGACCCGGTGAGGAGTTCGGATCTAATTCACGAAGGCCTTTGGCCACGTCAGCCACACTCATTTCTACGTGCTGCAACGAAGAGGGGTGGATTGGCGCAGTGTCATCGGGTAACGGCGTCTCGATCGAGTAAACAGATGAGTATTGCAGGGCCAGTAAACTGGCTTTCATCGCGTCGTCGTCAAGTAAACCGCCCTGCTCTGCAGAAAACAGGGCAGGAATGCCACTGCCAGCTTTGGTACTTCTTTTCAAATAAGAGTAGAGTGCCTTCGGTGTCGTCCTGGATTGCACTGCCAAACTGCGTTCATACAGATGCCGTTTCTGACGTTTTTTCGTGATGCAGTCGTTTCTGATCAATTTGTACTCCGAATAGTCAAGCGCGCAGTGAGTAAGCTTGAATCGGTCCCATAATTTACGTCTTTTGGACATTAAACACCTCAATTCTCGGTCTATCCATGGAGGGCCTCTGGTAAACATTCGCCTTTTGCAAACAGGAACAACCTGCTCAACAAGGGAAATCAGCTTGGAGTACAAAAGTTTCCACTCCTCATCTGGGTCCGAGGATAGAGGGATATTCCAGTCCATACCGCTAGCGGCCGCTTGCAGGCGGATTGGATCGGCACGCCAGAAATTCCTGCGGAAAGTATCTTGGTTGTGAAGAGTGAGGCGTCGAGTCCAGAGGAATGAGATCGTACAGTGATCACTATTACCAATAGGCGGAAGAGTGGTAACGTCTGCGACATCTGATTGTGCCGGGGAAAGCACAAGATCGAGAATATGGGGGGTTTGTCCGACACATATACGGGTAGGCACAGTAACATGTTGAAATAGGTTACACTCGAGAACGGTTTCCAAAAAGTCCACAGCGAAAACGTCTGAAGAAGTAGCACAGTGCAGCAAATCCCAGTCGACACTGGGGGCATTGAAGTCACCCAATAGTACACAGTCCTTTCCCCCACCATGCTTTTTAATTGAATCCAGCAGCTGAGCTCCGGAACCCAATGGAGCTCTGTAGACAACCCCGACTATCAGGGATCTGCATCCATCATGAACCCGGCACCACAGGGCTTCGAAACCACCATTACCATCACAAGTAGCTTCAACTAGATGAGCCTTGAGGTCTGCATTCCAGTACAGGATCACACCGCCACCAGATCTCCCTCCTTTGCGGTCAGCTCGGCAGAGATGATAACCGGGGATCTGCACCACGGAGTCCAGGATATCCGCGGACAACCAGGTCTCGGTAAAAGCCATAATGTCAGGATGATACTCTGAGGCAAAAGATTGAATTTCATCGAGTTTGTTTCGAATACTGCGCACATTAGCGGAAATTACGCGCAATCCGTTCTTCACCTCTAACGCCTGGGGATGACAAGAAGTGGTTTCCAGCGAATTTTGGTAGCTTTTCGGACTACGCGAAAATCCACAATATGTAAATCTGTCTCACCGTTGTCTCGACGGGATCTGAGTTCGTCAACCGCTTGTTTCATTCTCACTCGATCCTCAGGGGAAAGATCTCGCAATACATAAAACGATTCACCTTTAAGTCGCGGAGCTCGTCGAAGAATGCGACGGGCTTCGTCATCATTTTGACATACAATTTTAAGTGGACGAACCTTTGAGGAGTCCTCCTGTTTCTTACCGAGACGGAAGGCTGAAACAATGTTGATTCCTTGCTCTCCTTCATCGAATAGTAAGGAGATCATCCGTTGTAGGAACTCCTGATCATCTACAATCCTTTCAGCTGGGGTAGCCTTGGTGGACTCGGCTGCATTCACGATGATAAGGCAGCGGTCGCGGGATGGCGATGTGGCATTCTCATGGATCTTCGGCTTCAGCACAGCGGGACCGTCCTTAAGCAGTTTCTCCAGTTTACTGACTCTATCGAGAACCAAATTCAACTGCGACTGAGATGATGACGACTTGGATTTTAGCCTTACTCCTGTCTTGCTTTTGCGTTCAACATTTCGTACGTTTTCCTTTACTACCTCTGCGTACGTCTTCAGCTTAGGCTCTTCGCTCTGGTCAACAACCACCGGCGTCTCTGTAGATGTGGTGGAAGGTGCTCGACTACGCTTACTCGTTGGGGTAGCTGCGCCAGAATCGCATGTGATCAGGCAAGGAGTTGGAAGTGGGACAGCAGCGATGTTCATCTCGGCTTGGGCAGGAGAGGTGCGCGGACTGAGCGCAGGCAGTCCATCAAGGCATCGTCTGTTGCTTATCGTAACACGGCACAGGTCGCAAAAGAAGCCTAAGCCCGGAACGTTGGATCGCAGGAGAAATTCGTACAAATCATGGCCGACTCCACAGCAAGCTATGTGAGTCCATCCATCGCAGATGGTGCACTGCAAGGCTTTAGAGCGCGAAGTAACTCCTCTAAAACATGACAAGCATTTGGACGTCATAGCAGATGAAGTCCAAATAGTAGACAGATGAGTCACCAAATAGAGCTTGATTTGTCTTCTTTGGATCAAAATACTCCAATGAACCAGAACGCTCAACAGGACGTCGCTATCCGCACCTTCAAGCAAAACAACCCGTGTAGGAAAAGTTGTAGACCTGCTGTAGTATGCGTGTGGTCGAGGATTCCATAGGCTTCCGTGTTCATTGTGCACGTAAGTCGTACTAGACCTGGGGAGCTGCAATGCAAAGCAGATACCTCGTAGGTGGCTGGATGGAGTTACCTCAACCACCTGGTAATAGACCACACTAAACGAAACGTGGAGGTAAAAAGGAAGGGTCAACGATCGTCTAACCGAGGTACAAGGATCTGTATAACTTTTGGGGTCACTACAAGGTCACGCTGGACCTGCTACATCATCCCGCCTGTTGATAGGCGCTGTCCTCGGCACTTACTGTCTCGATCTTCGGATGTGCAAAACAAATAGTGAGCTCGGTGTGCTAAGTTCGAGAGATTCCGCGACGGGTAGTGTGGTCACAGGAGTTAATGATCGCCTCAAGGGCAACGACCTAGCTTTAGGGACTGCTGTCAGAAACTGGCACGGTCGCCAAATATGTATGCGTGTGGTCACGGATACCAAGGGCTTCGGTGTCCAGTGCGCACGTAGGTCGTAATAGACCTGGGGAGCTGCAATGCAAAGCAAACACCTCGTAGGTAGCTGGCTGGAGTTATCTCAACCAC